CACCGGCTGCGTGCTGAACATCATGGCGCTGATGTCCAAGGGCGGGTGCAAGGCGTTCCAGTTGGCGGTGGGCGGTGGCGTGACGGCGTTCTGCCCGACGGACGACGCCGTGCGCAGGTTCATGCCCAGCTACCGGAACCTCAGCGCGGACGGCAAGGCGTCGCTACTGCTGTTCCACGTGGTGCCCGTCTACTACACGTTGCGGGGCTCAAGTCCAAAGAACGGGCCCATGAACACACCGCCACCGACGGCGCCGCAAGAATGGATGCCTAAGCGTCGCCGCCGCGCGCCGCACCACCAGACTACACGTAGCCCTCGCCACCGCTCCGGCGACGTGCCCTAATACGCGGCGATGCCGATGGATGACGCGATGATGAGCAGCAAGCAGCGCTGCGTGAACGCGCAGCGTGCATCCGGTCGCCACGCCCCACACGTAGTACCGCCGGACGACGGCAGCGCCGTGGCCATCATCATGAAGATGAAGAGCGTCTTTGGCGGAGAGCGGTGGAGAGGGACGCCGAGGTGGAGAAGAAGGCGTCGCGGCGGCGCCGCAGACGGCGATGAGCGCGGTGGCGTGCACGGGTGCCGGTCCTCGGGTGCACCAGCCAAACACTGGCGGGATGATGTGGCTCCGTCGCGATGTGGGTGGTGTAAGCGCGCGCCCCAAATACGCGCCCACCAAAGAGTAATCGTGGTCATCCCCTTAAGCGCCAAAACCACCACGTACTACGCCCAACGCATCCCCACGTGGCGAACAGCCATAACACCCCGTGTTATGCCTACATTTAGGCAATCGCAAATCACGATATCATGCATCATCAAGCATCCAAATCATACATGCTTAATCGTGTGAATAATAATTGAAACATTGCTTTGAAACATCTCAAAACATGCGTGAAACCTAGATGTTGCATACACTGCTTAAGGATTGTTTTACCCTAAATTTTTCTTGCTAGGTTAGCAAAACATGTTTGGCTACTATTGTAAATCATCTAGCAATGTTTAGTTCAATTTTTGGAGCAATGTTTGTATTCAAATTAATTCAAAATTTGGCTTCAAAAATAAATTCCAAAAATTAGGGTTTTGAGCTAAACGTGGACTTTGATCTTACAATTCAAAATCTAGATAGAATTTGGCTGTGGTCCTAAAAGCAAAGTTGTAGAGAATTAAATTCTAAGCAACTTTCATTTTTGGTACATTTTCAAAAGAGGTCATCTTCTTGCTCAAAATAAGATTTGAAAGCTGGTTTTTAAAAAGTTCTTGAAAATATAAATGAAAAAGAGTTTTTCTCCTTCGCGGGCCGCCGCCTCGCTTCCGGCCCATCCGCACAGGCGGCCCGACCTACCCCCGCGCCGTTCCAACCCATCTCGCCTCGGCCCAGCCCAGCGCGCGCTGGCTCCTTCTCCCGCGTGCCGCGCCCGTCGCTGCGCCACGCCGCGACCGCGTCAGGAAGCTCTCGCCGCGTGGCGACCACGTGCCGGCGTCGCCCACCGCGCGGCAGCCGCGGCCTGACACCGCGCCCGCCTTCACCTGCTGGTGCCCACGCGCTCGCTCACTCCCGCCCGCGTTTCCTCTCTTCTCCTCCAGAGCCGAGAGCCTCAAGCTCTGCCCTTGCCGCGCCCACGCACCCGCCGGCGCGATTCACCGCCGGTGCTCCTCCACGGCCCGCAATCAAGCACCAGCAGCTCCGCCTCGCTCTCCGGCACCTGGTGCTCGTGGTTGTGCCGTCGTTTGAGCCGAGGTAGCGCTTTTTCCAAGCTTCGCCGCCGTCGGCCATGGCGCCGCCGTGCTCGGCCGCCATGGAAGCCGTCTTCCTTCTCCCCTCCAGCCTCGCCTAGCTACCCTACCGAGCTCGCCTTCTCCTCGCTCATCTCCTGCGCTCGCTTGCTTGCGCTGCCGTGGCCGGAGATGGCCGCCGGCCGCTGGCCGAGCCGCGCCGTCGCGCCAGCGCGCGCCCCGGCGAGGCACCCTGCCTCCGCCTGCAAGGCCGAAAGCAGCCGTGGGCCGAGGCCCTGCCAGGCCGCCGCGCTCCTCCTTTCGCTCGGGCCGCGCAGGCCGAAAACGGCCGTGGGCCAGCTGTTTCCAGCGAGCCGGCCCAGCATTGTTTAAATGAATTGTTTTTCATTTATTCTTTATTATTTGAAATTTGAAATGGTTTGAAAAATGTTTGGGTACTCAAATTTGCTCCAAATTTGTTGAAACAAATTTTTCTAGGTTCCTTATCAGTAGATCTACTTGGAAAAAATTGTGCATGTCATTTTTGAGATACTTTGCTGTAGAAATTTATTTAATCTTGAATATTGCTGATAACTTGAAAAATATGTAGAAAATTCTATAGGCTTAAGAAAAATATGATTCCAAGTTTGTTAATCTTCTTATGTCATGTACTTCCTAGGAAAAATATGTTTCATGCATGTGCTGTGGGAAAATTTTGAGGTGTAGTTCGAGTACCTTTAATGGCTGATTTTTGTTATTTTTGCTAGAGCACAAATTTTGTATAAAACATGCATGTGACAATTTTTGTACAGTTATTGTATGCTATGTAGAACATAGGAAAAATTCTAATTCTGTTGTTTGACACTTTTCACAGTACAAAGTATTTTCATGTTCATGATCATGCCATAGCTTGTTATTTTTGTGTAGGATAGTTTACTTATCCAAATGCCATGAAACTTTTATGGTAGTCTGTTTAGGATAGTATTATGCTACTGTAATTTTCTCAGATTTTTAGGAGCATCAGAAATATATGTTGCTATTCAAACCTATTATTTAATTAGGGTTTAAGTCAGTGTTGCTTTAAGTGTGATTAAGAAATTAGTCAAAGCTTTGGTGTATCTTTGAAGCATTTAATAAAATATGTTGACTTAACATATTAGTATTAGAAGAGAATGCAGTAGATGACATGTGCTTATAGTATAGTTTCTTGGATGATGTTGACTACCTTGCATTTAAACATATCCATTGTATTCATCTCATCCGATGCATCGATTGCATAGGCACTTACACGCATTGCATCATACAGGATCGCAAACCGAGAACCCAAATAAGTCATTCCCGAGGAGCCCGAGGAGCAGCTTCGAGGTGCAGCAGCAGGAAGTGCCGTGGTTTAACGAGGAGGACGTTGAAGAACTTCCGGAGTGTCCCGATCACCGTCCGAGCTCCTTCGAGAGAGCAAGCCCGAGCATCTTTCTCCCGGTTTGCAATGATTTCGTTAAATGCTTTACTTTAAATTGATGCATTACGTTCAGGAGTTGTTTGCAACCGCTGTCGCATTATACCTTGTTTACCTTTGTTATACTATATCCTTGTTACCTCGGTATCCGCAATCGAGTCAATGCTTAGTCGGCTTAGACCGGTAGAAGTCGGGTGATTTCACACCACCGCGAGCTATAGGTGGTTACCGGATCTGCTTGGATGGCTATGAAGTCATGGTATAACTAAGTGTTAAATGAAGTTGAGACCGGGCGGAGACTTGCAGAGTTTTGGATTGTAGTGTTTCCGTCTATGTCGATTAAGGACCGACCGTTGTTGGGCCTCGAGTCATGTTGAACGATGCCTTACATTTAGTCGGGCCGGATAAAGTACCTTCCGACCGCTGGTTCGGAGATTTTTCGGGCGAGTAGATTGCCCGCAGCCAAGACCGCGTCAAGCAGGTGTGGTAGGACACGGGCGGGATGATAAGACCAAAGTGCGCCGGTCGGCCCCGGTACATGTGGTTCTGGCAAACTCGAGATACCGGAAAGTTGACTCGATGATTAATATCTCACTTTAGCGGGTGAGTGAGATTTGTGTAAGGAATAAATCACCACCGGTTAGAAATCGATTCGAATCGCCATCGCCTCCCGGATAGTGAGCACTTGACTTGAGTGACTTCATCGTAGTAAATGTTTATGGAACACTTGGACGCTTATAGCGAATATGACAAGATGGAAGTTGTTTAATGATCGCTGGTTATCATTAATTGCTTAATCACATGTTTACTCTAGTATAGATGTAAATCTAGTCGATAGGTTAATAATAATTGTTGGCAATAACGCTTTTAGAAAAGTTATGGAATGGCTAAAATGCTTCTTTTGCAAATGAGTCACTACCCTACTATAAAGCCTTCATAATCCTTGGAGTCATTTATTTTCGGTTATGTCGGGTAAGTCTAGTGAGTACCTTCTCGTTTTCGTGGTTTTATTCCCACTTGTTGCGTATGGGCGTATGTATTACAGCCTATTGTATCAACTGTCTCTATCCTGCGATGGGTGATGCTTAGGACCATGGGCATGGTCATTCCTTACGTCTCGTCTAATGCTTTTGTTGGAGATGATCATTCGCTGGCACTATATTTGAACTCCGCGTGAGTGTGTGTGGTTTGAACAAATGGCTTCCGCTACTTTTATTTGAACGGGTTTGTAATAACTATGTTTAAACTCTGATGTATCTGAGATTGCGAACTTTTATGTAATATGTGAGGGTGACCGCTAAACTTATTACGATCTTGGCTGGAATGGAAGTTGGTTTGAAATCCTTCGCGATTTCACGGACTACCGGGTTATACGGGCTTAAGTTTGCTAAATCGTCTGCTCTGGCGAATGATTTTCTTACTTAATTTCGTATAATTGGTCGGTTCTGTTACAAACGCCACCAAGTAGGTGGCGCTGCGGTCAATGGTCGTGTATGGCTGCATCATGCTCAACACCAGCGCCATGATGCAGTAGATGGCCGTGATGACGAACATGGAGCCCAGCAGGCCCAGCGGGAAGTCCCGCGATGGGTTCTTGGTCTCCTCCGCCATGGTCACGATGTTGTCGAAGCCACCGTACGTGAAGTAGACGATCGCCGCCGCCCGGAACACGCCCGGCACGCCATGGAAGGGCCGGAGGTTGGCTGGGTTGGCGTCGATGAACTCGGCCACGATGACGAGCGCGATGACGACCACATGCACGGCGGACGCGACCTAATAAGCATGGCCAGCGTGGCGGTGACGGCGATGACGAGCACCGCGATGGGGTCTAGCTCATCGTACCCCTCGGCGAGCCCCGGCGCGTGGATCCGCCGCGTGCTGGCGGGCTTGTTGATGAGCGACGTGAGGTAGGACGTCCAGGACCGCGCCACGGCCGCCGTGCCAATGACGCTCTCGAGGATGAGGTTGGCGGCGGCGATGAACGCCGCGGCATCGCCGAGCTCGACGCGGAGGTAGGCGAAGGAGCCGCCGGCCACGGGATCTCGACGGCGAACTCGGTGTAGCAGAAGACGGAGAGCATGGCGGAGAGACCCGAGGCAACGTAGGAGAGCACGATGGCGGGGCCCGCGTGGTCGTGCGCCTCCTGCCCCGTGAGAACGAAGATGCCGGCGCCGATGACGGAGCCGAAGCCGAACCAGGTGAGGTCCCACCACGTGAGGCACCGCCGCATCTCGTGCTCGCTCCGGCGGCGCAGTGCGCCCAGCTCCGCGGCGTCGGTGGACCGCCCCGCGAGGCGGTCCCCGAGGCGGGCAGGGGTCTCGCCCAGCGCCCGACGATACGCGCCCCAGCTCGCGAACGACGGCTCCGGGAAGAAGTCGTCCCTGTGCCATCGCCAGTAGCTCCTCGTTGGTACCGTCGCCGCGGCCTTGCCTGCGCCCTCGTCGTACTCCGCCGGCGCGGACATCTCCACGAGTGCCATGTACCCGTGGCTGCTACGAGGACGCTTAGGGCCCGAGGCCGGCGCCCATGGCCATGCCCAAGTCAATGCTGAGGCCTAGCGATGGCGCGCCGCCCACGGCCATGCAGGAGACAGCCGGCTTCGCGATGAGCGTAGGCATGGGGCGCGGCTTGCGGAGCCGCCACCGATGGGGACGTTGCATGTCTCACGGGTTTTCTGTTCAAATCATGTCCGCGTCAGCTTCTAACCCTCCTCGTGTCTATTTTGGATCTGGATGAGATCACTTAAATACATTAGGTAGCCAAACGTGCGATTTCATAGTTTGGGGACCCAAATAAAAACCGCCGAAACCGGCCGTGCAATTTACTCTATATTATATATATTTATATTTTACTCCTATATAAAGGTAGGCAGTCAATTCGTCCAAGCTGCGAGAAGACACAAGCATAGACTACATTATCGAAACGGGAGATGATAACAAACTTGTGCGTCAGGCCATGTCGTCTGTACGTGTACTGCTAGTACAAATTAATTAAAAGACATCCATCTGGCCGTTTAACTTTCAACGTACGTAGGGTAGGTCATGTGCACACCTCACGCAACTTGTGTTTATTTCGTGCCCAAATATTTGTCAGCTTGCATGCAGCAATGCAAGCTTCCAAGAACGCTAGCTTTGGGCTTAACAGCTCCACCTACACATAGCAGCCGCCCGGGCTACACATGCCTAACATATTTGCAAGATGCTTTAATTTTAGTTGTATCATATACTTCCTGCACTTTGTTTATTGCTTGCACTGCATGGAGGTTTTAGTGATCGATCCGTGATTTCGAATTTGCACATTGTGGGGCTGTTTGTTACCCGCCCCACAAGAGATCTTAGACGTTGGATTTCACTCGCCTAGAGGATTAGATCTTTGCCTGGCAGGCACCAAGCAAACAAGCCGATCGAGTACATGCATGCTAATACAGTACGTTCCATGTAGTACTTGCTAATACTGCCGGTTTTTGTTACCAAACCATAACCATGCACGGATGGATTCCTGAGGCAACAAGCAAGGCACCACCGTAGCCATCTTTCAGGACCAGGGTCCGAATAGGCGAATAGTGCCACGTGACCGATGGGGACCGTTGCCAGCAGTACCGATCACTCTCATTATTATTATTAGCAGCATACGGCCAAATTAACTTCGTTCCAACGTACAAATGCCTTTGTAAAAATGCTTTGTACTTACAGGAAATATATAAAAATTTAGGCGTACATTTATCTTGCAAAAAGGCAGCTTTTCCATGCACATAAAATGGAATAGCGCTTAGTACTAGTAAATTGTGATACAGGTGTACAGCACAAGAATAATTTAGACTGCAGATTCCTGCAGCTAGCAGGAACATGATGAAGGCATCAACAATTAACAAACTTTCAGACCAGATTCAGGGTCCCATTAAGTACATACATATTTGCGTGTCAACTGGGGCGGCTGTTAACTGGAGATATATAGATGCGTGATGCTTAATTTCGTCATATCACTCATGACTAGAGTATATATATAGATACATACATGCATGACGATTGCGACGAGATTAATGTACTTGTAATAGTAGTACTTAACTAGATAGCGTCTCATGCATCTAGTGCAACTAAGCTTTCCATGAATCATGGTAACTGTAAAAGCTGAGCACTAGACCAGCTATCAGTGCATCGTCCATGATGTACTTGCTTAATCTGACCATAAATTAAAACCGTAAACAAAAAAGATGCTCACACCAACATTCAAGCATGCAGTTCATACAACAGCAGCAATCTCGGATGGGAAGGTTGCGCACATTTTCGTTTAATATATTATTGTTATATGGACCAATAATGATCGTGCCAATTAAAGCTGCTGCTAGAGTTGGGTGTAACTGATTCGCTTGTTGGTTTCAGTCAGGGCTTATCAGTCATGGTACAATATTTTTCCTTCACAACAAACCAGCATCAGTTGGACTTATCAGCCCAGAAACCAATCAGCGAACAGGCTGCATGTGATAGTCAAGCTTATTGCCTTGCACACCAATGTAATGTAATCATGATGATGAAGGGCATGGTGCCGTGCATTTTTTTATTTTGGTCAAGGGTCGACCCATGATCTGAGCGTGTGTGTCCGATCCCTAGCTAGCAACTAGCATGGTTGGTGCGGATATGATATGGACATACATGTGCACGATATCTTGGCACCATTATTTCTTCCTTCTTCGATTCATCTCGGTTTTGACGACTCTACAATTTTGGGAGTAAGGAGACAACACCTACATTTTGTGAAAGATCAACTAACCAAAGCAAACGATGACGATGGAAAAAAAAACTCGACTGGCGGGGGAAAGACCACCCCCCAAGGCATTAGACTAAGAAGAAATTCTCAGTTCCCCACCGAGAAAATCTTTGAACCCCTGCCCTACCCTTACACAGCGCTCCGTCACCTTGGGGATGGGCCGGGTAGGCCGAACGCACGACCTGTGCTTTGAGTGGTGACGGACGAGAGGATTTTTTTTAACCCAACCTAAAATTCGCTCCCACAGACGATGATTTCTGTTAGTAGCTAGGATCACTACTTGACAAAAACAATAGATGACTGATGATGAGTTTTGCTAGTACAAAAACAGTTGAGATTGTAGGATCACCATGAACACCACGCGCTACTATAGAAACAATCATGGTTCTTAGAGATGTCTCTTGTTTTAGACATGCTTAGATAGAAAATAAAAACTAATTAAAAATGGTTACCTATAGTCCATCGATGAATGCCTTTGAAAATAGAGGTATTTCTAGAAACGGTCGGAAACAACAACCACGGCTAGAAAAGTGATTTCAGTCGTGCTTGGTAATGTGTCTCGCCTCTAAAAGTAGGTGTTGCACAAAAAACATCATACATTTTTCAAAAAGAAGTTGAGAATGAAGATAAATTTCAATTTAATTATATCAAAGTTGCAGAGTATGTACGAGGAGATCTACAAATAGTGATTTTTTCGTTTGATATTGTTTCGTAGCCCAAATACATTTTTTTTAAAGTTATCGTGTTTTTAAAAGTCGAATTTTTAATTTTTTTTGAATAACTCGGATGGAGACACACCTATACCAAAGTTGCAGAGCACGATGGTATATAAAACTTTGTAGTTGATGATATTTTCATTTGAAATTGTTTAGTGGCCCAAATATACATATTTAAGTCCTCACATTTTGTAGTTCAAAATTTTCAAACTACCTCAAATGGAGATATGTCATATACCAAAGTTGTGTTTGACGAGATTTTAAACTTTGTAAGTGGTTCATTTTTTAAACTTAAACCATTTAGAAACCAAAAAAATTCAATACATAATCTATAAAAATTGATAAAAAAAGATAATTACTGTCCCTACGAACCGGTTGGAAACACCACTGGCCTGTCCATAGAAATGGTTGATTTCTACATACGCTTTGTTAGAGCCGGTTGGGAAAACCGGCCTAGAAATCATTTTTGACCGCCCCAAAATGTTGTGTGTAGTAGTGACCCGACTTGAAAAAAAATAGATGCTTGATGAGACTTGCTAGTAGAGATCAGACGAGACAGTAGGATCTCGATGGTTGGCTTGATGTATATATCTCTCCATTTAAAAAAAAATCTGTGGCTATAACTTGGATTTGTATGAGTTGTCATTTGTTTGTGCGTTTTAATTTAAACTTGGTACTGGCTCTAGTTAGCTAGGACTGGGGCCACATGCTAACATGCATGTGATCTCCACTAGGCAATATCTAGGTGACTAGGTGTATGTGTATATGCTAGCCCATTAGGAACACTACCAGCGCTGCTGCTGCTGGTACTGTGAAATTGTTGTGCTCCGGAAATAGGAATTGGCTTGTTCTGTACAAATTGCTAAACCAGGCTTGTCATGGGCCGGCCGGCCATGATAGATTAGCGTCAACTGTAAAGCTGAAGCTAGCTAGCGTTATCCATTGCTTAACTTAGACATAGTAGGAAAAAAAGAAGAAGTTAAAGAGAAACACATATACCGACAAAGCACCCTGCTTTTTGAGTTAAAACAAAAGAACAAATTGTCCTGTTCGTTTGGCTGATAAGGCATGACTAAAAGTACTGTTGGCTGATTTATTGTGAGAGAAAAATACTGTTCGTTGGCTGAAAAAATACGGCTTATAAGCCAAACGAACGGGGTAGCCATATGGAAAAGAAAGCTAGGTAGCTACAGAGTATGTTTCTCTAAAAAAGAAAAAAAGCTAGCCATGTTCATGCATGAAAGCAAATGCATAAACTAGCTAGTAGACGTATAAACTGTGTGCATCATGCAATCATGCGTCTCGATTAGACAAGATAAAGCTGCTGCCTGCACATATCGTAACAGTGTATTGTTTGCCTGCTTGCACCAATAATGATGGCGCCGTGCATCTTCCGATCCACTGTGGACCTTGTGGTGCATGTGGTCAAGTTTTTTTTTTTTTTTTTGACTCGAGCAAGTGTGCATCCCTGCTGACACATGTTGGCGCCCCGGCAGAGCACTACTGATCTTGACACGCGGTTTGCTCCTCTGCTCATCCGTTTTGGCGACTTCCCTTTCCATCAGTAAGAAAAAAGAAAGCCTGTCTTTTGATCGACCTATCAAACCAAAACAGTCCTTTTTAGCAGAAATGTCATGATAGAGTTGATATACAATTTTACACATCCAACTAGTACAATTACAAGAACTACTCACAATAGCCAAACAATGACAAAGTTCTATATATGCGGTATAAGAGAAGTGATATAACAATGTTGTGTATATGTATATATACAGTCAGATGATGGGGAGCTAAAAGGAGGTATCATGGCATATATGGCATGATGATGCACACACTTCTGGCATATTGGTGTGGACCGGATAGATGTGTGCAGCACACTGTGCCACCTTTTCCCCTTTTGCAAGGTGAGACATCGCTTTATTTCCATCTGTATATTTGGTTGCTCTGGCGTCAGCGTTGAGAGCAACTAGCTAAGGCGATTTTGTTTTTTATTTTTAAC